AGGGACAGGGCACGGCCAGGGCAGGGCCAGGGCAGGACAGTGCCAGGGCAGGGACAGGGCAGTGCCAGGGCAGTGCCAGGGCAGTGCCAGGGCAGGGCAGGGCCAGGGCAGGGACAGGGCAGGGCCAGGGCAGTGCCAGGGCAGTGCCAGGGCAGTGCCAGGGCAGGACAGTGCCAGGGCAGGGACAGGGCAGTGCCAGGGCAGGGCAGGGCCAGGGCAGGGACAGGGCAGGGCCAGGGCAGTGCCAGGGCAGGGACAGGGCAGAGCAGTGCCAGGGCAGGGCCAGGGCAGTGCCAGGGCAGGGACAGGGCAGGGCCAGGGCAGGGACAGGGCAGTGCCAGGGCAGTGCCAGGGCAGTGCCAGGGGCAGTGCCAGGGCAGGGCCAGGGCAGGGCAGGGCCAGGGGCAGGGCCAGGGCAGTACCAGGGTAGTGCCAGGGCAGGGCAGTGCCAGGGCAGTGCGAGGGGCAGTGCCAGGGCAGTGCCAGGGCAGTACCAGGGTAGTGCCAGGGCAGGGCAGTGCCAGGGGGCAGTGCAAGGGCAGGGCAGTGCCAGGGCAGGGCAGTGCCAGGGCAGTGCGAGGGGCAGTGCCAGGGCAGTGCCAGGGCAGGGCAGTGCCAGGGCAGTGCGAGGGGCAGTGCCAGGGCAGTGCCAGGGGCAGTGCCAGGGGCAGTGCCAGGGCAGTGCCAGGGCAGTGCGAGGGGCAGTGCCAGGGCAGTACCACGGTAGTGCCAGGGCAGGGCAGTGCCAGGGGCAGGGCCAGGGCAGGGCAGTGCCAGGGCAGGGCCAGGGCAGGGCCAGGGCAGGGCAGTGCCAGGGCAGGGCAGTGCCAGGGGCAGTGCCAGGGCAGTGCCAGGGCAGTACCAGGGTAGTGCCAGGGCAGGGCAGTGCCAGGGCAGTGCCAGGGGCAGTGCCAGGGCAGGGCAGTGCCAGGGGCAGTGCCAGGGCAGTACCAGGGTAGTGCCAGGGCAGGGCAGTGCCAGGGGGCAGTGCAAGGGCAGGGCAGTGCCAGGGCAGTGCCAGGGCAGTGCCAGGGCAGTACCAGGGTAGTGCCAGGGCAGGGCAGTGCCAGGGCAGTGCCAGGGCAGGGCAGTGCCAGGGCAGTGCCAGGGCAGTGCCAGGGGCAGTGCCAGGGGGCAGTGCAAGGGCAGGGCAGTGCCAGGGGGCAGTGCCAGGGCAGGGCAGTACCAGGGCAGTGCCAGGGCAGTGCCAGGGCAGTGCCAGGGCAGGGCCAGGGCAGTGCCAGGGCAGTGCCAGGGGCAGTGCCAGGGCAGTGCCAGAGCAGTGCCAGGGCAGGGCCAGGGCAGTGCCAGGGCAGGGCAGTGCCAGGGCAGTGCCAGGGCAGTGCCAGGGGCAGTGCCAGGGGGCAGTGCAAGGGCAGGGCAGTGCCAGGGGGCAGTGCCAGGGCAGGGCAGTACCAGGGCAGTGCCAGGGCAGTGCCAGGGCAGTGCCAGGGGCAGTGCCAGGGCAGTGCCAGGGCAGTGCCAGGGCAGGGCCAGGGCAGTGCCAGGGCAGTGCCAGGGGCAGTGCCAGGGCAGTGCCAGAGCAGTGCCAGGGCAGGGCCAGGGCAGTGCCAGGGCAGGGCAGTGCCAGGGCAGTGCCAGAGCAGTGCCAGGGCAGGGCCAGGGCAGTGCCAGGGCAGGGCAGTGCCAGGGGCAGTGCCAGGGCAGGGCCAGGGCAGTGCCAGGGGGCAGTGCCAGGGCAGGGCCAGGGGGCAGTGCAAGGGCAGGGCAGTGCAAGGGCAGGGCAGTGCCAGGGCAGGGCAGTACCAGGGCAGTGCCAGGGGGCAGTGCCAGGGCAGGGCAGTGCCAGGGCAGTGCCAGGGCAGTGCCAGGGCAGTGCCAGGTGCCAGGGCAGGAGCTGCTGGCATTGATCCCCCATTTCAGCTTGCCCAGGAAATCTTGGGGCATTTCCCCAAATCCTGCAGGAATTGCCCTGCAGAGCGCGGCCCTTCGTTAGAAACCCAATTAACTGCCCTCACGCTCATTAACTCTTTATTCTAATTGGGCCAATTGACTTTAATTAATTCCCAGTGCAGAGCCAGCCTGGCACATTTCACATTTTCTGGTTTTCCCTGATCGGTAACAAAGTCCAAACCCTGCCAGGGCCTCTCATTCTGTTTGTTAAGTGGATGGCCCTTAATTCACTTTTTATTAATTATTATAATAATTATACTTAATTCTTATTTTTTATCTCATTCTCGGTTTCTCACATGGAATCTGGAGCCAGTGGATGTCCCTTAATTCAGTTTTTACTCTTATTTTTTATTCTCATTCAGCTCATGGAAACTGGAGCCAGTGGATGTCCCCTTTAATAAAAACTTTAAATTTAAAACTTTAAGTTTTTATTCTTATTTTTTATCTCATTCACCTCATTCACCTGGGGCCAGTGGATGTCCCCTTTAATTAAATTTTTATTCTTATTCTTTATTCTCATTCACCTCATTCACCTGGGGCCAGTGGATGCCCCTTTAATTAATTTTTTATTCTTATTTTTTATTCTCATTCAGCACATGGAAACTGGAGCCAGAGGATGTCACTTTAATTAAGATTTTATTCTTATTTTTTATTCTCATTCAGCGCATGTGGATGTCCCCTTAATTAACTGTTTATTCTTATTTTTTATCTCATTCACCTCATTCACCTGGAGCCAGTGGATGTCCCCTTAATTAACTGTTTATTCTTATTTTTTATTTTCATTCACCTCATGGAAACTGGAGCCAGTGGATGTCACTTTAATTCAGTTTTTATTCTTATTTTTTATTTTCATTCACCTCATGGAACCTGGAGCCAGTGGATGTCCCTTAATTAAGATTTTATTCTTATTTTTTATTCTCATTCTCAGTTTCTCATTCACCTCATGGAAACTGGAGCCAGTGGATGTCCCCTTTAATTAATTTTTTATTTTTATTTTTTATTGTCGTTCACCTGGGGCCAGTGGATGTCCCGTTATTAAGTTTTTATTTTTATTTCTTATTCTCATTCACCTCATTCACCTGGAGCCAGTGGATGTCCCTTTAATTCAGTTTTTATTTTTATTTTTTATTCTCATTCAGCACATGTGGATGTCCCCTTAATTCAGTTTTTATTCTTATTTTTATTCTCATTCACCTGGAGCCAGTGGATGTTCCCTTAATTAAGATTTTATTCTTATTTTTTATTCCCATTCAGCACATGGAAACTGGAGCCAGTGGATGTCACTTTAATTCAGTTTTTATTCTTATTTTTTATTCTCATTGGCCTCATTCACCTGGAGCCAGTGGATGTCCCCTTAATTAAGATTTTATTCTTATTTTTATTCTCATTCTCGGTTTCTCACATGGAAACTGGAGCCAGTAGATGCCCCTTTAATTCAGTGTTTATTCTTATTTTTATTCTCATTCAGCTCATGGAAACTGGAGCCAGTGGATGTCCCTTAATTCAGTTTTTATTCTTATTTTTTATTCTCTTTCAGCTCATGTGGATGTCCCCTTAATTCAGTTTTTATTTTTATTTTTTATTCTCATTGTCAGTTTCTCACATGGAAACTGGAGCCAGTGGATGTCCCCTTAATTTCTATTCTTATTTTTATCTCATTCACCTGGGGCCAGTGGATGTCCCCTTTAATTAAATTTTTATTCTTATTTTTTATTCTCATTCAGCATATGTGGATGTCCCCCTAATTAAGTGTTTATTCTTATTTTTTATTCTCATTCACCTCATGTAATCTGGAGCCAGTGGGTGTCCTCTTAATTAAGTTTTTATTTTTATTTTTTATCTCATTCACCTGGGGCCAGTGGATGCCCCTTTAATTCAGTTTTTATTCTTATTTTTTATTCTCATTCAGCTCATGGAAACTGGAGCCAGTGGATGTCCCCTTAATTCAGTTTTTATTCTTATTTTTTATTCTCATTCAGCTCATGGAAACTGGAGCCAGTGGATGTCCCCTTAATTCAGTTTTTATTCTTATTTTTTATTCTCATTTACCTCATTCACCTGGGGCCAGTGGATGCCCCTTTAATTCAGTTTTTATTCTTATTTTTTATTCTCATTTACCTCATTCACCTGGAGCCAGTGGATGCCCCTTAATTCAGTTTTTTTTTTATTTTTATTCCCATTCAGCACATGGAAACTGGGGCCAGTGGATGTCCCGTTATTAAGTTTTTATTTTTATTTCTTATTCTCATTCACCTCATTCACCTGGAGCCAGTGGATGCCCCTTTAATTAAGATTTTATTCTTATTTTTTATTCTCATTCAGTGCATGTGAATGTCCCCTTAATTAACTGTTTATTCTTATTTTTTATTCTCATTCAGCACATTCACCTGGAGCCAGTGGATGTCCCCTTAATTTTTATTATTATTTTTATTCCTATTCAGCTCATGGAATCTGGAGCCAGTGGATGTCCCTTAATTCAGTTTTTATTCTTATTTTTTATTCTCATTCACCTGATGGGAACTGGAGCCAGTGGATGTCCCCTTTAATAAAAACTTTAAATTTAAAACTTTAATTAAGTTTTTATTCTTATTTTTTATTCTCATTTACCTCATTCACCTTAATTCAGTTTTTATTCTTATTTTTATTCCTATTCAGCACATGGAAACTGGAGCCAGTGGATGTCCCTTAATTCAGTTTTTATTCTTATTTTTTATTCTCATTCACTTCATTCACCTGGAGCCAGTGGATGTCCCTTAATTCAGTTTTTATTCTTATTTTTTATTCTCATTCAGCACATGTGGATGTCCCCCTAATTAAGTTTTTATTCTTATTTTTTATCTCGTTCACCTGGAGCCAGTGGATGCCCTTTAATTCAGTTTTTATTCCTTTTTTGGGAGCTCCATTTAACACCCCCTTCACACCTCCATGGCTGCCCTGAATATTCTTTATTCTGGCCGTGGCTCCTTGATCTCTTTGAGGTTTATTTGAATTTGAACTCGGCCTTTGCTCGCCTTGGGCATTTTTCCTTTCATGCCAGGCTGTTCTCGAAGGATTTGCTGCAAGATTTGCACATTAATCTTCTTTATTTAGACTTGATTAAATAAAAGCTTTTCCAAGGCTTTCGTTTCAAGCAGGTTTCCCAATGCTGCCTTGAATAAGAAATGGAAATTAATTTTGGATTAGAGCTAGAGAATTATATTTTTTTTTTTATTTTTTTTAATGCATCAGCCTGGTTTAACCTCGGTTTTGTTTTTAGTGTTTAGGTGTAATTCCTATCGGAAAAAAATGAAAATAATTTAGGTGTAATTCCTATTGGGTTAAAGTGAAAATAATTCAGGTGTAATTCCTATTGGGTTAAAGTGAAAATAATTTAGGTGTTATTCCTAATTCCTATTGGGTTAAAGTGAAAATAATTTAGGTGTTATTCCTGTTGGGTTAAGAGTGAAAATAATTTAGGTGTAATTCCTGTTGGGTTAAAAGTGAAAATAATTAAGGTGTAATTCCTGTTGGGTTAAAAGTGAAAATAATTTAGGTGTCATTCCTATCGGGCAAAAATGAAAATAATTTAGGTGTAATTCCTGTTGGGTTAAAAATAAAAATAATTTAGGTGTCATTCCTATTGGGAAAAAAATGAAAATAATTTAGGTGTAATTCCTATTGGGTTAAAAATAAAAATAATTTAGGTGTAATTCCTATTGGGTTAAAAATAAAAATAATTTAGGTGTAATTCCTGTTGGGTTAAAAGTGAAAATAATTTAGGTGTAATTCCTATTGGGTTAAAAGTGAAAATAATTTAGGTGTAATTTCTTAATAGGAAAATTTAGCTTTAAAAAACCTTGCAGAGAGAGATGGGGTTCCATTTCTATTTAGTTTGAGTGAAGTGCTGCAGAAATGATTTTATTGTAAAATAGCCTTATCTATTGTAAAATAGATAAGAACTAATAAAATTCTGAGTCCAAACAAGAAATACCACGTTTTCAAGTACAGGTGCCAAGAATCCAGCTCCAATACTAATACTGAGAAAATAAATATTATTAATATAAATGAGGTCAGACTTCTGAAAGAGGCAATATTTTTGTCAGTTCCATTTCAATTGGATGGGCAGAATTTCCAGAATTGTCCAGAGTCTGGGGAAGACAAACATGGATGGAAATGCTAAATTCTGCTTTTGAGAATCTCACTTTAGAGCAGAAAACATTCGCTGAACGCGTAAGATCTGTGCTGCCAGCGCCCTTCCAAGGGATTTAATTAGCAGGTTTTAATGAGCATCAAGCATTATTTCTTACCTAAACTGTCCTGGGAAAATGGTGTGTAAGTAGATATACCAAGGACTTTTGTCGCAGACATTTTTTCACAGAAATCCTTTCTTTGGGGGTGTGCATCTTCTGGGAAGCAAAAGGCCCCAGAAGAAGAAGGTAAACAATGATTATCAGCTGCTGTGGAATGCAATGGGATGCACCTGGGATTGGTTCATGTTCCCATGTTTGTAATTAAGGGCCAATCACAGGAGCAAGCTGGGGACAGAGTCCCTGGACACAGAACTTTGTTCTGGATTCTTTCTTGCTATTCTTAGCTTAGCAGCCTCTGCAACTTCTCTCTTTATTTCTATTTAGTACAGTTATAATGTATTATATATCATATATCAATAAATCCAGCCTTCTGATCAAGAAGCAAGATTCTCGTCTTTCTCTCACCCCCAGCGACCCACTCAGGACGCTGTAATAGACTTTGCTTTTTATTATCATATAATATTTTCCCCTTTTTATTATCATGTAATATTTTCTTGTCGTTTTCATCAAGGCCAAGAGGGCAGAGTGTGAGCTCGGAGCCGTGTCACGTCAGCACGCAGCGATGCAGCGCGTGCATTCCTGCAGAGGCTGCCACTGGTGGTGAATGGCGCTGCACCCAGCTGGCGACCAGTCACCAGTGGTGTCCCTCAGGGGTCTGCACTGGGGCCAGTTCTGTTTAATATTTTTACTGATGACGTGGATGAGGGTTTAGGGTCCTTTATCAGCAAATTTGCAGATGACACTAAGCTGGGAACGTGTGTTGATCTGTTAGAGGGACAGAGGGCTTTGCAGAGGGACCTGGAACGGTTGGATGGATGGGCAGAATCGAATGGGATGAAGCTCAATAAATCCAAGCGCCGAGTCTGTAGTAGACAGGGACAGGCGTTCGGAAGATCTCGCGATGTGACGGAAAGGCGGGACCCTCTGTTCCCCTTAGATAAGAAGTTAACATAGGAATGTAGCCTCCCTTAACCGAATACCAGTAACTTTCCATCCCCTACCCAGTAACTTTCCACTCCTTACTAACCATAGATGGCAAAGACAGACCCCACTGTGACGTAGAAGACCCCCAAGATTATAAAACCCCAAGAGATGAGATAATAAAGGCCTTTGGACCGTCCACCACGTTGGTGTTTGCGTGTGTTCTTGGCCCGAGCGACCCTGGAGAGCGTGGGTCGCCGTGCCGTTTCCTCAGAACCGGGTCGCCTTGCCTTATACCAGAAGGCAACACGAGTCCTGCACTTTGGCCACAATAACCCCCTGCAACGATACAAGCTGGGGACGGTGTGGCTGGACAGCATTCAGGTGGAAAGGGACCTGGGGGTGCTGGTTGACAGTGGGCTGAATGTGAGCCAGCAGTGTGCCCAGGTGGCCATAAGGCCAATGGCATCCTGGCCTATTACAGCGTCCTGTGTGGGTCGCTGGGGGTGAGAGAAAGACGAGAATCTTGTTTCTTGATCAGAAGGCTGGATTTATTGATATATGATATATAATACATTATAACTATACTAAATAGAAATAAAGAGAGAGAAGTTGCAGAGGCTGCTAGCTAGGCTAAGAATAGAAAGCAAGAATCTAGAACAAAGTTGCGTCCAGGGACTCTGTCCCCCGCTTGCTCCTGTGATTGGCCTTTAATTATAAACATGGAAACATGAACCAATCACAGGTGCATCCTATTGCATTTCATAGCAGCTGATAACAATTGTTTACATTCTCTTCCTCTGGGGCCCTCAGCTTCCCAGAAAATGCAGAAATCTGAAAGAAAGGATTTCTGTGAAAAAATGTCTGCGACAGACATTAAGCTGGGAATGTGTGTTCATCTGTTAGAGGGACAGAGGGCTTTGCAGAGGGACCTGGAACGGTTGGATGGATGGGCAGAATCGAATGGGATGAATTTCAATAAGTCCAAGTGCCGAGTCCTGCACTTTGGCCACAATAACCCCCTGCAACGATACAAGCTGGGGACGGTGTGGCTGGACAGTGCTCAGGTGGAAAGGGACCTGGGGGTGCTGGTGGACAGTCGGCTGAACATGAGCCAGCAGTGTGCCCAGGTGGCCAAGGAGGCCAATGGCATCCTTATTGGAATATGAATCCCAATATTACCAGTTAGATGGTGCCTGGGCCAGTCTGACCCTCGCTGCTGGGCCAAAGGCGGCAACTGTGGTGTAATCACCCCAGAGATACCTTGGCTTGCTGGAGATTGCAGCTGGGCACTGAACAAGTCCAGGCTTGTTAGGAACTCCATTTACCTCAGATGGAAGGCTTCAGGTGAATGGTGAGGAGGAAAAGGAGATGGATTCTGCTGGAGGGTTATATCCACAGGTTTATTCCATGGTTACAGAGGTCTGGACGTGAGCAACAGCCCCAACAGAATGGCGACCGCATGGCCTGGTCACCTTTTTAAGCTCCTGGGGCAGGGGGAGGGGAGGGGACAGGTGAGCCACCAACCAGGTGGGAGGGGCGGGGTCTCAGGGGAAGATGACACCCAGACAGGCCAATGACCTCTGGGCATAGGGGCATCTTTTGAACTTGACCAACCACACGAGGCCTTGCTGGAATGTTAAACCTGATTGACAGGACTCACTCAGCATGGGGGCAGGGGGGAAGGGAGAGAGGTATAGGCACGCCTGGGAAGGGACCCGGAAGTTTAAAAGAGGCCGTTATAACACACTGCAACAATCCTGGCCTGGATCAGGAACGGTGTGGCCAGCAGGAGCAGGGAGGTCATTCTGCCCCTGCACTCAGCCCTGGTGAGGCCTCACCTGGAGTATTGTATCCAGTTCTGGGCCCCTCACTTTAGGAGGGACGTTGAGATGCTTGAGTGTGTCCAGAGGAGAGCAAGGAGGCTGGTGAGGGGCTTGGAGCACAAGCCGTATGAAGAACAACTGAGGGAGCTGGGGTTGTTCAGCCTGGAGAAAAGGAGACTCAGGGGTGACCTCATCACTCTCTTCAGCTTCCTGAAGGGTGGCTGTGGTGAGCTGGGGGTCGGTCTCTTTCTCCGGGCAACAACAGACAGAACAAGAGGACACAGTCTCAAGCTGCGCCAAGGGAGATACAGGCTAGAATTAAGGAGGAAGTATTTTACAGAAAGAGTGGTCAAATACTGGAATCATCTACCCAGGGAGGTGGTGGAGTCACCATCCCTCAAAGAGTTTTAAAAAAGACTGGATGTGGCACTTGGTGCCATGATCTAGTTGAGGTGTAAGAACATGGGTTGGACTCGGTGATCTTAAAGGTCTCTTCCAACCTAGAATTTCTGTGATTCTGTGATTCTGTGATTGGCCTGCTCCGGGCAAGGCTTTGTTTCCAGAGCCACAAAAAATCCCGTGGAACTTTCTGGAATGACTTCCCCGGGCTCCTTTCATGGCAGGGTGTCCCATTTTAGCACAATGAGCTCTCAGTGTTGAGGTTTGGGGCTGCTGGGGCTCAGGGTGCCATTGAACCGCGGCAAACATTGAACTGCGGCGACCCAAAGTTGTGAAATTTTGGGAAGAGATGCAAAATTCATGAAAGAACTGTGGCAGCATTTTGTGTAAAAGCATGGAAAGGGATTTTTGGGGGTAGAGGAGAGGTAAATTGTTGGGAGTTTTTTGCAGGTTGAGGAGTTCTTGCGAGACAATGGCCATATTCAGCCTGGACAATGGACACAAACGATGAATAATGGAAATATTCAGAAATGGGCTCGGTGTGTCCTTGAAAAAGATGCAAGAAGAGTCAGCAGGACTCAGCAAGTTTGTCAGCAAGCTTGGGAAAGTGAGAAAAAAGTGAATAATGGGTGGGCCAGACAAGCACAGCAAGAAAAATGAGATGATCCAATCAGCATTCTAATGTAGAGGTGTGAACAGCCAGGATTAACCAATCATGTATTGACAGTAGAGATTCATTATAAATATTTATATATATATATATATATATATATATATATATATATATATATATATAATGAATATAATAATAATAATAAAATAATAAATTGTCTTTTTAGGGATAAGAAATTTGGCTTCACTGGATCATGCTGGTTATGGTGTGATGTCCCTGAACCTCCGCACCCCGCAGTAAATAAATAAATTTAAAACTCAGCGAGTTTGTCAGCAAGTTTGGGAAAGTAAGAAAAAAGTGAGCCATGGGTGGGCCAGACGAGGACAGCAAGAAAAATGAGATGATCCAATCAGCATTCTATTTTAATGTGGATTAACCAATCATGTATTGACAGTAGGGATTTATTATAACTATAACTGTAACTATAATAAATATGATAATGATAATAATGATAATAATGATAAGAATAATAATAATGATAATAATAATAATAATGATAATAATTATAATAATGATAATAATGATAATGATGTTTTTAGGGATAATAAATTTGGCTTCACTGGATCATATTGGTAATGGTGTGATGTCCCTAAACCTCCGCACCCCACAGTAAATTAATAAATTTATAGGGTTGCTGTAAATAAATTAATAAATTTACAGGTGTACTGTAAATAAATTAATAAATGTACAGGGTCATTGTAAATAAATGAATAAATTTACAGGGTCGCTGTAAATAAATGTACAGGGTCACTGTAAATAAATTAATAAATTTACAGAGTCTTTGTAAATAAATAAATAAATTCACAGGGTCACTGTAAATAAATTAATAAATTTACAGGGTCAATATAAATGAGTAACGGGGTCACTTTCTGCACTGACAGTTCCCACCCACAGTAATGTCTGGGATGATTCCCTCAGAGTGAAAATAATTTAGGTGTAAATCATTTTTACAGAGCAACCAGCCCAGGTGGGTTTGGTCTCCTCCTCATTCCCAGATTTTTCCCTGAGGGAAAATCTCCGAGCTCCCCCATCCCTGGGGTGCTGACAGTGCTGGAATCCCCCCTGTGACACTTGCCAGGGATTTCACCTTCCGGAGCTGAGCTGATCCTCCTCCTCCTCCTCCTGCTCTCTTCTTCCTCTCGGCCGCCTCCTTGCTCAGGTCCGGGGTGTTCCCTCCTCCCTTCCTCCTCCTGCAGAGCAGAACACGAGAATTCCGGTTGTTATTCATATTTCTGTTATCATATTTCTGAGTTCCACACCTTCTGGGGGGTTTCTCACAAGCAGCTCCTCACAGCAGTGCTGCTCCTGCTTCTTCATCAGGGCTCCTCCAAGGCCCTCCCTGACCAGCCAACCCACCCCCTGTTATCCCAGTTACCTTCACGAGCCACAGCTGCCGCCCATTTAGAGCAACTGGGACCTACCAGGGCAAGGCCTATGGTCAGATATTTCCCCCTTTCCTTTTACTTACAGATACCCAAGTACAGTACAGATATTTTACTAGCACTCAAAGGCCATCTCTACTATAGATCCCCCTTTTCTTTTACTTACAGGGACAGATTTTACATCGACACATTTACATATTCTACAATACATATCTCTTACTGTGACTCAGAGGCCACCTATATTTCCCCAACACAATACATATCTTTCACTGTAACTCAAAGGCCACATTACAGTACATACATTTTCCCATGACTCAAAGACCACGTACAACACACACAGCTCCTTGCTCAAAGGCCATATTCTTCACAGCTCTTGGCTGCCTTATCCACAGCTCCTGGCTCAAGGGCCATCCACAGCTCTTGGCTGCCTTATCCACAGCTCCTGGCTCAAGGGCCATCCACAGCTCTTGGCTGCCTTATCCACAGCTCCTGGCTCAAGGGCCATCCACAGCTCTTGGCTGCCTTATCCACAGCTCCTGGCTCAAGGGCCATCCACAGCTCTTGGCTGCCTTATCCACAGTTCCTGGTTCAAAGGCCATCCACAGCTCTTGGCTGCCTTATCTCTGCCAACTATCATGTCGGGGTCACCACTTGTTCTCATTCATATTTCTGTTATCATATTTCTAGAGTCCCACACCTTCTGGGTGGTTTTCTCACAAGCATCTCCTCACAGCAGTGCTGCTCCTGCTGCTTCATCAGGGCTCCTCCAAGGCTCTCCCTGACCGGCCAACCCACCCCCTTTTATCCCAGTTATCTTCATTAGCCACAGCTGCTGCCCAATTAAGGGCATCACAGCTGCAGCCCATCAAGAACAACTGGGACCTACCGGGGCAAGGCCGATATACAGATATTCAAGTACTATAAATTCCAATAAATGCTCTGCACTTGCTGCCCTGAGGGTGATAAAAGTCAAATCCTTTGGGATGTTGCCACCTGAAAAGATAACACGTTTTTTATCTTGTCCCAAAGAGCACAATCAGGGCTCAGGGGAAGGTGGGAACTTGATTTTTAGATTTTTTTTTAAAGTTGTGATAAATTCTGGCACTCAAAGACAAGCTCAGGACTCAGTGATTTAAGCTAAGCCGGCCTGAGATTGTTACAGCTCCTCGGGGAAATGCACAGAAAATTAAGTTGAGCTGAATCAATTTGGGAGTTTTCAGTGAAGTCTGTGTGACCTGAAGTGTAAAAAAGGCTGGGGCTGCCCCTCCAACAAGGTTTATTCAGTGTTTTTTGTAACCAAATAAGTCTACACATGTATTTGCATATTTTTGGTATTATACATGCAGCTGCTATGAAATTCAACACAATTAACTGGCAGAACAGGAATATTCCAAATTAAATGAAAATTAAATGAATTGCACTGGAATATGGCCCCAGTGGCAACATTTTTTTCCCAATATCAAGGAGTAAAATCCAGACTTATTGAAGTGAAGGGGTGAACGACTATCTTGGTAATGCATTGAACTTTAACTTTATTGATTAATCAATTACTTTAAATAATAGTGTTAACGAATGCTATGAATATTTTGTAATTTAATGTTATGATAGGCTAATAGAGAAATTTTTAACTACTTTTTTTGTTTTAGAATACTTACAATTGTTTATTGAAGACAGAAATTAAAACAGAAACTAGAAACTAAAACAGAAACTAGTGTTCTTAAAACTTCTACATCTGTTCTCAGGATAACAGGCTTTCTCAAGGATGGTGTTCTGCTTGCTATGGGAAGACAAGCTGAGAACTTTATTGTTTATAGAATGATGCCTGAGAGAGTTTAATTGTTTATACAAGTCAGAAGGCTGAGAACTGTTAGAAACGGCCTTACTTTTCTCTTATACTTTTCTCTCAATTTTATGTCTCATGGCTTTTTCTTTAAGTCATTCTCCGACATTTCCCCCGTTTTTTCTTTTTAAGAAAGGAGGTTAGTTTGTAGGTTTTTTTTATTATTTTATTGATTATTTTTTGAATGTAATAAGGTAAGATAATGGTGAAGTTTTTTTTTATAGAAATTCTTGTGGAGGAGGTATTATTAGATGTTAAGAGAAGTGTAGACTTTACTTTGTTAGGGTTTAGTTGTATTAAAGGTTTGAGGATAAACAGGACACTCAGTGTTAGAAATGTGATTTTGTGGAGAAGGATTAGAACTAGTGTTTAGAGGTGGAAAAATGATGATTTGTTTAAATAACAAGATTTATTTTGTGTTTGGGTTGGTATTTTATTTTAGGTTTTATTTTTACAAATTAAAAATATTTTTGTGGGTAATTTTTTAGGTGTTATAATAGTAGAGTTTTTATATTGGTTATAAAGTTGTTTGGACACTATTTTTAGGTTTAGAGATGAATTTAGAGTAGTTTATGTTTGTTTATGTTGACTCATTTTTTGGAAATTAGAGTAATTAAAGTTGAACTGTAATTATTTAATGTTTGATTGGGATTTTTTTTTATAGGGCTTACAACAGAATGTTGTGTTAAAGGTACTAGTTTTTTACACTTTATTGAGGTTATATATGAAGTACTTTGATTTTTAATTTTTTTTAAAATACACTGTATTTCTTATTGATAATAAGTTAAGATTTTTGTTCATGAGATTTATAAAGGTTTGAAGTTGAAGTAGTGTTTAGTTTTGTTTCATTTTGTAGTGCTTGTTTTCAATTATGTTTTTAGATGTGTTTATAATTACAGGTGTGGCACTATAAATGAAAAAGTAACAACTGATTACAACTTTTACAAAACAGTGTAATTTAAGTAGTACAATTTAGGTTGTGATATTTAAAACAGTTTTTTTTTGTTAGTTTTCGTATATGTAAAGATGATAATGATTTAATAATGTTAATTAGTTTTTTGGTTGTTTAGCAACGGCGTGTTAAGGTTTTATTAGGTATTGCACAACAGGTGGTAATTGGATTAAGAAAAGAAAGTTGTTAATTGTTTTCATTTATGCGAATTTGGAGAGAAGGTGAAAAAGTTTGAAAATGATTTTTTTTTGTTTTTGAAGTTATTACATCTACTTTTTTTTATGAGTTTTTTAGAAATGTTTAAAGTTAGTTTTTAGTTTGTAATTTTTTAGTCATTTGGCTTAAATGGCATTAACTGGGTGATTTTTAGTTTTTTGTTAATTTGGAGTGGTGAAAAGATAGTATGCATTTAAGGCACTTAAAATATTTAACTTAATAGATTTATTTGCAAATTATGTAAAATTACTTAAATCTAATTTAAATTTAATAGAATTTAACTTAACTTACTTAATAATACTTAACAAAATTTAATTTTTTTTAAATTTCACACAACTTAAACTTATATATAATTTAAACTTAGTAGACTTCGAACTTAACTGAAAACAAGTTCAATAAACTTAATTTTAATATTTAATGGTATTTAATTGATAACTTAACTTAAACTACTTAATAACAGATAAAATTTACTATAGAAATAATATATAACATTTATTATTACTCACTCACAGGCTTGACTCTAAAACACTCAACTAAAACAACTTTTTTTACGTTTTTGCTGTAGTATTTATACTAAAAACACACTTACAACATTTCACTCATATAATTAATTTAATACATTTTAACATTTTTAAACTTTTTAAAACACAGCTTTAAAGTTTAATGTTTTACTGACTCAGTTATTTGGGCTTCTAATGTTTAAAGTTTTTGGTAATATAGATGTTTTTAAGACAGCATAACTAATGCTGAGTTAAATCGGCTTTTACGTTGATTTTTGCTTTACAGTCTGTGCTGGGGAGAATAAAAGATTTTTACTAATTTAGGTGAAAAACATTTTGACAGTAACAGTTTTTGGTGTTGTTTGTTTAGTTTTACTGGTTTTTTAATTGTAATAGGAATCTTTTCTTTTGTTGACAAGAGTCATAGTTATTACGGCTGTTAGATTTTAAATTGTAGTTTTTGTTGGCTACGGGGCAGAGGGAGAAACGCTCCCGCTCGAAAAAGCACTTTGAAGTTGGAATTTGCTAAGGAGTGTGTAACTAGCTTTGAAAATGGATGGTGCTGGATATTCATTAGAGTTTAGAAAAGATGTTGGTTGATTTAAACAGCAGGATGAAAACTATTAATGCACAGCATGATTGCTTTTTTATTACTTGTTTTCTGATGTTTAGTCACTGTTCTTAAGCAGCAACTGGCTGCTCGTGGACATCTGGCTTTTAGTTTACACATGAGGGTGATGTGGTTTTGGTCTCTCCCCCCGCGGCGCTCTTTGTTCACTTCTGGCGCGGCGCGGCTTGGTTTTTGCGGCGGTGGCTCTGCTCTCGGGGCGGCGTGGCTCGGCTCCTGCGGCGGCGGTTTCTTTGGTGCTTGGCATTTTCGGCGCAAGCGGCTCGTGCTTTTGCAGCATTTTGTGCGGCTTTCTTTATTTGATGTTGCAAACGCAGTTGATGCTTGAAGAGGTGTAAAAGCGGCTAACACTTGACTCTGAGAGGACTTTGCTTGTTTTTGCAAGTTTACTGCTATCTGTTTAAGTGCATTTACTACAAAAGCTTGCTGGTTAGTGGGAATGAGTGCTATTTTTTTTAATGCTTCTTTGATAGTTTAATTTGCACTTAAGGTGTTAAGTATGTTTCTAGTAGCAGAGTTACAGTTTTGAATACAACACTGTTTAAGGAGAGCTTCGCGCATAAATTCTGCTACTTTGGCTCTTTCAATTGCAGCTGTAGTTCTATTAACAAAAGTGCTAAAGGTTTCATTTTTGTTTTGTTTAATTTTTATATACACTGGTACTCTTCTTGG